TAGCTTTCTGGAACAGTGTGTAACTGTGAAGTACACCCCAAAAATACTGCTACAGGGAGACATGGGTACGCAAAATCACACACACATATATATATATATATGTGTGATTTGCGCTCCTGTGGTTTTCACGCCCCTCCCAGATAGCATCAGATTGCCCGTCAGTACACCAGTCATCACATTTAACCCCTTGATTGCTAGGAACAGGCTCATACAACATAAACCTCCATTGCTTGTATGTTGTGTTTGAACAGATCAATATCTTTGATCAGATCAGCACTATACCAGCGTTCACTTTAGTATAGTGTCCCCAAAAACGCAGCATTAGCGGGATCAGCCCCGGCACCTGCCAGCACCTGCGTTTAGCCCCTACGCTTACACCCCTTTCTCCCCCAGCAAGTGCTGTGTCAATAGGTCACTGTCACTTGATACATTGCGCACAAGACCGCAGTGTTGGCAGAATCAGGCCTGATCTCTGTTAGCACTTGTCAGTAAATTTTGATGACTCTGATATGCAGCAGAGTGCCAGTACTAGTGCCTCGCTACCTTTTGGTGAACTGGCGAGCACTAGTGGCCTAGTACATCCTAGTCTTTAACATACATCTTAGATTGTAAGCTCCTAGGATCAGGCCCTCCTAACCCTCTTGTATTGAACTGTATTGTTGCTGTATTGTCTCCGGTTATATTGTAAAGCGCTGAGCAAACTCTTGGCACTATATAAATCCAGGCAGTCCGATGAGTCATATGCAAAGTATCTTTCCGAGATAGTAGCGTAGTAATTGAAACAAATGTGTCAAAAGGAAGGAGAGTTTGTGCTTCCAATTGACCCCAAAAACATGGCCGCCTCCAGTACATCTACGGGAAAATGGAGGACGGGATATTTATAAGCTGGCAATGGATGAGTGATTGACCTATCACAACCCCCTGATGAAGCCACGTGATTGGAGGCGTAACGCGTAGGGGAGGGGCTACGTCATCACTCGGAGAGGAGCCGCACAACACGATAGACGGCAGGTGTATGACTCAGAGGCCAGCAGAGGATTTCCAATGGGATATTACATTATTTAAACCTGTCTAATGTGAGTTTAATACTTGGATGGTGGGAATAAAAAAGTTTTAAAAGGTAAAGCACTATGTCCTCTATTTCTTCCTGCATGCGGAGTAACACAAGGAGAGGATAATTAGGAGGTCTGGGATAACAAAAGGAGTGTGTAATCCCTGAGGGGATAATCAGCCACCAGAGGATACATCCATTACTCCTAAAGGAAGGATCTCCCAATTTTACCAGCAAAAGTATATGTCTAGCAGGTTCCAGGGAAAGTGAACCGAAAGCGTGTATAGCCTAATTGCAGGCATCAAAGGAGGTGAGCGCACATCTTCACTATTTGAATGACTCACAAAAGTCACAAATTGAAGAACAACAAGCACCAAGTCACTATATATAAACGATTGTTTATTCAATGGGACTATTATTTTGATGATAATTGGATTCATACTAATCACTACTAATTATTTATGAGCATTTGGTTATTTTTATTTATGGGGGATCATTTAAATGCGTTTTAGTTGAGTGTTATTAGTTGGTTTACTATTTTTATTATATTAAATGAGGGTATTATGAATATAAATGAAATTGAGGGTATTAGTAAGTACATCATGTCACTAATAGATGATTTATGAGCACTTGGTAAAATATTTTTTTAGAGGAGTATTTCATGTGGAATTATTTTGATATTTATTTGGAGGAGATTGATTAGTTGAAACTATCTATTTAAATATTTTTTGGTATTTATACACTTTTATTAGTTATTTGTATCATAATTTGAATTAATTTAATGGTAGTAATTTAATTATTATTTATTGAGAAGTATTTAGGAGCGCAACATATATTTGTAGATATTTCCAACACAGTTGTAGTTATGTGTTTCATGTTTGCGATCCTCTAGTAATTATCACACCTGTGACTCGCAAGTCACTCTGATTCATCTATTCCTGTATAATAATAATAATACCAGCACTGCAGTATCACTTGGTGACCTGGCGAGTCCCATAAGTGCAGTACAAGCTGGTGCTTGTGCACGAGCGTTGACCCTGTGTCGGTATGTAAACAGCGGTTGCACCATGCATGTGAGGTATCGCTGTGAACATCAGATCAAGGGCAGTAATTCTAACACTAGAACTCCTCCTTTGTAAATCTAAAATGGTAGCTTGTAAAGGCTTTTAAAACGTTCCCTATGGATATTAAAAACGTATGCAGTTTGTCGCCATTGCATTGGGCATGCACAGTTTTAAATCATGTCATGTTTGGTATCTACTCGGCATACCATCATATTTTTATATTTTACCAAATAATTGGCCAATATATTGTGTTTTTGTGCATTAAAAATAAAAAAGTGTATTTTTTTTTTAAAATTTGCTTTTAAAAATTGCTGCGCGAGTATTATGTGTCATAAAAAATTTCAGCACCCACCATTTTATTCACTAAGGTGTTTGCTTTAAAAAATATATAATGGTTGGGGGTTTAAATTAATTTCCTAGCAAAAAATACTGAATTTTTTCATGTGACCAAAAAGTGTCAGAAAAGGCTTGATCTTCAGGTGGTTAGAAGAGTGAATGATGTGTGGCATAAACTTCAAATGCTGGGAATAAAATGCCCTCACCCCCCAAAACGACCCCTTTTTGGAAAGTAGTCACCCCAAACTATTTGCTGAGAGGAATGTTGAATCAATAGAAGAATTTATTTTTTTACACAAGTCTTTAGAAAATGACAAAAAATTGTCATTAAATGATTTACTGCTCACACATGCCATGTTTATGTGTGGAATTACTCCCCAAAATACATTCTGCTATTTCTCCTGAGTACGAGGGTACCACATATGAGAGACATTTTGGCAGTCTAGCCAAGTACAGGACCCCAAAATCCAATAAGCATCTTCAGGCTTTTAAAGGGCTTTATTTCCTCATTACACTTCCTGACTACCTATCACAGTTTCAGAGGCCCTGAAATGCTAGGATAGCACCAAACCCCCCCAAATGACCCCTTTTTAGAAAGTAGACACCCTAAGGAATTTGATAAGAAGGATGGTGAGTATTTTGCAGATCTCGTTTGTTGCCACAAGTTTTTGGAATATTAAGTAAAAAAACAAATACATATTTTTTATTTTCATTTTTTATATTTCAAAACCTTGTGAGAAAAAATGAGATCTGCAAAATACTCAGCATGCCTCTTTTTAAATTCCTTGGGGTGTCTACTTTCCAAAAAGGGGTAATTTGGGGGGGGGGGGGTTGGTGCTATCCTAACATTTCAGGGCCTCCGAAACTGTGATAGATAGTGAGGAAGTGGAAATTAGGAAGTTACGCACCTTCCAGGTTTCAAAGTGGTCATTGGATTTCAGGTTCCTGTATGTGGCTAGGCTCCCAAAACATCTCAGACATGTGGTATCCGCATACTCGCTAGAAGTAGCAGAATGTATTTTGGGGTGTAATTCCACATATACCCATGGCTTGTGCGAGAAATAAATCATTTAAATTACAACTTTGTGTAAAAAAAAAAAAAAAGTTTTTGTCATTTTCCAGAAACTTGTGGAAAAAAAATAAATCTTCCATGGACTCAATATGCCTCTCAGCAGAAAGCTTAGGGTGTCTACTTTTCGAAAAAGGGGTCATTTGGGGGTGTCTGTACTGTCCTGGTATTTTAGCACCTCAAGAAATGTGATAAGCAGTCAAAAGTATACCATTTATTATTATACCATAGTTTGTAGACGCTATAACTTTCACACAAAGCTATACACTTGTTGGGATTTTTTAACCAAAAACATGTAGCATAATACATTTTGGCCTAAATTGATGATGAAATTTAGTTTTTTTAGATATTTTTTATGACCGAAATGAAAAAATATCGTTATTTTCATAACATTTTTTTTCTTCAAAACGTTTTTTTGTTTTGTAGCGCCAAAAATAAATAGTGTGCAGGTGACCAAATACCACCAAAAGAAAGCTCTATTTGTGTGAAAAAAAGGACATAAATTTAATTTATGTACTGTATTGCATGACCACACAATTGACCGTTAAACTAGTGCAGCACTGTATAGCAAACAAATGGCGTAAATTGCAGTATCTATACCATAGTTTGTAGACGCTGTAACTTTCACAAAAAGCAATCAATATACACTTATTAGGATCTTTTTTACCAAAAACATGTAGCAGAATACATTTTGGCCTAAATGTATAACTAACTTTGAGTTTACTATATATTTTCTATAGCCGAAAGTAAAAAATATAGTTTTTCTTCAAAATTTTCGGTCTTTTTTTGTTTTATAGCACAAAAAATAAAAATTACACAGGTGATCAAATACCACCGAAAGAAATCTCTATTTGTGTGAAAAAAGAACATAAATTTCATTTGGGCACAGTATTGCATGACTGCGCAATTATCAGTTGAATTAGTGCAGCACCGAGTAGCAAAAAGAGGCCTGGTCATTAAGGGAGGAAAATCCTCTACAGGGCAAGTGGCTAAACATATATCCTAGATGGGGTTTTGGTGTAGATGTTATTAGGGGATCTCCACACAAAAAATATTGTGGGGTCCCCCTGAAAAATATACCAGACCATACCTGATCATGCAACCTGGCAGGCTATGAAAGGAGTGTGCACACGCCTTCCTGAACCATACCAGGCCACTTGCCCTCAACATTGGGGAGGGGTTCCTTGCCAGAGGGACCCCCATGGCAAAGCACCTTACCCCCATATTTATGAGGGCAAAGGCCTCTTCCTCAAAACCCTGCTTGATTGTTGTGGGGGTCTGTGGGCTGGGATCTTATTAGTATCCTAAAACCCCCTTTTAAAAATAAGGGGGTGCATACCCCACTGATTATTTTTGGTCAATGATGTCATGCTAAACTAGCTCTTTTAGCTGCATTGTTTAACCGCTTTCCTGCTGCCCTATAGCAGAAATAATGCTACAGCGTGGCAGGGGTGCGCAAAATCATGTATATATATATGGGACTTTGCATTTCCGGGTAGGGGGCATGCACAAACCGCACGTGTGCTGCCATTGGCAGCCTTGGCTGTCAATCACCGGGTCCCAGCCGGTGATTCCCCACCAGCATCCGGTGATCACTGTGTATCACGGACGGGGGGGGAGAAACCTGTATGTAAACAACACAGATCACTAACAGGGGAGAGACCTGTATGTAAACAATACAGATATCTCCTCTGTCAGCTCCTGCACACTGCTTTGTATGGCTCTGCATAGCAGCCATACGAAAGCAGTGTGCTTACAGTGTAAAGCACACACACAGCACACAGTAAAAGAGCACAGAGCACACAGTTAACCCTTTGATAATCCCAGATGTTAACCCCTTCCTGCCCAGTGTCATTAGTACAGTGTCAGTGCTTTTTATTATCACTGATCACTGTATTGGTGTCACTGGGGATGTCAGTGGCAGTTAGTCTGTTCCCCTTCAGTGTCAGAATGGCTGCCGCAGTCCCGCAGTCCCACCATAAGTCGCTGATCACCGCCATAAGTCGCTGATTGCCGTCATAAGTCGCTGATTGCCGCCATTACTAGTATAAAAAAAAAATACCAGTAAACATACCGCCATTTGTAGATGCTATAACCTTCACGTACACCAATCAATTTACACGTATTGGAATTTTTCTTAACAAAAACATGTAGCAGAATACATTTTGGCCTAAATTTATGAAGAAATTAGATTTTTTTTTTTAATTTTTTTTTACTGGACATGTTTAATTGCAAAAAGTAAAAAAGTATTGTTTTTTTCTCAAAATTGTCAGTCGTTTTTTTCTCAAAATTGTCAGTCATTTTTTTTTATAGCGTAATAAAAAAAAACAAAATGCAGAGGAGATCAAATACCACCAAGAGAAATCTCTATTTGTGCGAAAAAAGGACATAAATTTAATTTGAGTGCAGCATTGTATGACTGCGCAATTGTCAATTAAAGTAATGCAATGCCTGTGTGAAACAAAAAATGGAATGGTCAGAAGTGGGGGGGGGGGGGGGTAAAGCCTACGGCGGGCAAGTGGTTAAGACCTACAATGATTACCACAAAAAAAACTGTGTTGTGTGAAAATCTGCCTCTGTTTACATAGCTGGGAATTCCCAGACAGTGAATGAATGGGGTTGGGTAACATCACTGGCCTCTAAAGCAATGGCAGGATGTCAGCACCCACTGATCTCTTAGAAGCCATTGAGAGCAAGAAACCTGACAGGTATAGTAGCAGTATTTCTACCACTACTGTACATGACATTCAGCTCCTGCCAAATGGGTAAAATGTCCAGCATTCGGGCAAGGGAGCACTCTTTACGTCTGGAGGAAAAGAAATTTAATCTCCAAACACGGAAAGGTTTCTTCACAGTGAGAGCTGTGAAAATGTGGAATAGACTCCCTCAAGAGTTGGTTCTGGCCAGCTCAGCGGATTGCTTTAAAAAAGGCTTGGATTGTTTCTTAGATACACAGAATATAACTGGATACTAACATTTATAGGTAAAGTTGATCCAGGGAATATGTCAGGGATCCGGGAATGACCAGAGATGTGTGGACTGACACAGGGAAACGCAGGCTTCAAGTACAGTGTAAAACAATATAATTTATTAAGACTATACAGTACACACAGTGCAAAAACCAAACCTCCAATAAATCACAATATTTGCGGGAACACAAACGCAGTCAGGCAGGCCGGTAACTATCGGGCAGACAAGGTACAAAGGAGCAGGCAGGAGAGTGGTCAGGAATAGCCGGGGTCGGTGCAGGCAGAGTTCTAGCAGAGTCACGATCAGGCAGGAATATCAGGCAGGAATATCAGACAGGATGCAGGTACAGGGGCTCATGGGAACAAACACCAAGGCACTGACTGCAGGCCTGGCCATTGCTTAAATACACCTCCTGCAATCAGCCTCAGGTGATGGCTTGACTGCAGGAGTGAGATTATGGCTGCTGAGAGCACCTGCTGGCCAGCACTGGTACTGCAGCCCACAAGACAGGTGAGCCCCAGCACCACCTGTGGTGAGTCCATTCCTGACAGAATATCCGATTGCCTCTTGGGGGATCAGGAAGGATTTTTTTTCCCTGCAGGAGCAAATTGCATCATGCTTTGCTGGGGTTTTTTTTTGCCTTCCTCTGGATCAACTGTGGGTATAGGATTATGATTTTTTTTTCTTTAATAGTTGCACTGGATGGACTTTTGTCTTTTTTCAGCCAGACTATGGAAGTCTGTAAATGCCCAAACAGCCACCCCTAATTGCATTGTTTTATTAATGTAGTGGTGTCTGTTGGCAACTAGTGGAAGTGTAGTGCCATAAGAACATGTTTATTTGTTACACTGGTATATTCTCTCTTCCCCATCCTGTAATGAACTAGTTAGTACAGTCCTAGTTAGGCCCCCTGCTCTTTCATACTTCCTTAGTAAGTTTCAGTTCTTTACAGAGACAAGGTTTAGGTAAGTCATTGTGTTTTTACACTTCAAAACACTGTAAAAACATATCTGCACTGCACATATCTGAAGTTAATCATGTTGGATTCACTTGTGTCTTTTTGAAGAGTAACCTGTCTGTGGATTGTGCCAGTTCAGCAAGAGACCATACTGTCCATACAGACTCAGTCTAAGGAGGTGTGTCCTTTATATAACAGCATTTAAAACAAAACAAGCTTAGCAGTAACATAACCAAATTTCCTGACACTAGAGATCGAGGCAAGCTTGCCTTAGACTTCACACTGCACATATACAGCTATGAGACCCTCAATATATCAGGAAGTGCACTGCTCTTTTTCAGGAGGACTTCAGAACAAAAGCTACTGCTTGGGCACACTCAACATTTCTAGATGTTAAATCTCTTCTTTCCCGCAATTTCTTACATCTTGATTATAGGGACATTTAACATTTAGCACAACCCAACTTAAAGTGATTCTAAAGTTAAAAATGTTTTTTACCTTAAAGCAAAGCTCCACCCAAAAGGGGAAGTTCCGCTTTAAGCCTTTGTTCCCCGCTCCCCATTAAGGATTGGCACCTTTGGGGAGCGGGTACCTGAATTTGACAGGTACCCGCTCCCACTTCCGCTGCAATCGCCTAGGCGATCGGAAACAGAAGTTTGCCTCCCCCCTTCCTCCCTGTAGTCTTCTGGGACACGTGACAGGTCCCAGAAGACTACGGGGCCATTCACAAAGTGCAGCGCTTCTCGCACATGCGCAGTGGGCACCCGGCTGTGAAGCCGCAAGCTGTCACAGCTGGGTGCCCACACTGAAGATGCCGGCACCAGGGAGAGAAGACGGCCGGTGAAACCAGCCATGGTGAAGACTCCGTTGGATGAAGGGACAGGTAAGTGGCTGCATTTTAAAAGTCAGCAGCTACAGTTTTTGTAGCTACTGACTTTTATTTATTTTTTTTAAGTGGAACTCAGCTTTAACCGTTTCCCGACTGCCCTATAACAGAAGTGCTGCTAAAGGCAGCAGGGATTTTTTTTAGCAAAGACATGTAGCAGAATATATTTTGGCCTAAATTTATGAAGAAATTTGATTTTATTAATTTTTTATTGGACATGTGTAATTGCAAAAAGTCAAAAATATTGGTTTTTTTTCCTCCAAAAAATTTTTTTTTGTTTACAGTGCAAAAAAAAAAAACGCACAGGTGATCAAATACCACAGAAAGAAAGCTCCATTTGTGGGAAAAAAATGACAGAAATGTATTTATGTACAACGTTACATGAATGTGCAATTGTCAGTGTCGTATCTCAAAAAATAGTCTGGTCAGGAAGGGGGGTAAATCCTCTGGAAGGCAAGTGGTTAATGTATTTTCTGCATTAGGGTAAAAAATTACCCACTACCTGTTCTAGTCACTGTATTAGTGTCACTGGAATGTCAGTGGCAGTTACTCAGTTCCCACTCAGTGTCAGAATGCCTGCCACAGTCCCACTATAAGTCGCTGATCTCCACCATTACTATAAATAAAATAAAAATAAAAATAAAAATTGCAGTATATATACCGCTATTTGCAGACACTATAACTTTCACGTAAACCAATTAATTTACACAAATTGGCATTTTTTTTTTACCAAAGACTTGTAGCAGAATACATTTTGGCATAAATTTATGAAGAATTTTATTTTTAATTTTATTTTATTTTTTACTGAATTTGTTTTATAGCAAAAAGTCAAAAATATATATTTTTTCAAAATTGTCAGTTTTATTTTGTTTACAGTGCAGAAAAAAAAAACGCACAGGTGATCAAATACCACAGAAAGAAAGCTCTATTTGTGGGAAAAAAATGACAGAAATTTTTTTTATGTACAACGTTACATGAATGTCAGTGTCGTATCTCAAAAAATAGTCTGGTCAGGAAGGGGGGTAAATCCTCTGGAAGGCAAGTGGGTAATGTATTTTCTGCATTAGGGTAAAAAATGCCCCACTACCTGTTCTACTCACCCCCATCCCTAAACATCTACCTGGCTCCTGTCATTGCTCCCCTCATTTCATGACCTCACAGAAGACACTGAGGGCAATGGGAGCCATAGGCTCCTGCTGCTTTCAGTCATGCTCATGTGAGGGGACACTGGGAGCATAGCATACCTGGATTGAAAGTGAGAGAGCACAAGTGCCTCCATAGCACCCAGCTTGCACAGGAGGTGCAGAGGGAGAAGAGGACAGCACTGGTGGGGGGGCTGTCAGAAGAAAAGCTAAGGGCCCCTTCTTTGTAATATTGTTGCACAGAGCAGGCAAGTGTAACATAATTTTTATCTTAACCAAAAAAATGTATCCTTTGGTAATGGTATAAACTACTTGCTGCCCACCCTCAGTAGATATAATTTTGGCCAGCAACACAGCCCAGCTGGATCATGTACCAATACGTTGGTGGGGACTTCCAGGTTTACGGGCACGCATGCTGCTGAATGCACTGTGGTTGGACACAGCATGATTTTGTCAGCATGTCTAGGCCGGTGACTCATAGCTGAGACCTGTTGATTGGCTGTATCCAATCACAGCACAGAGCCCTGTGTTTACAAAAACACGGCTCTGTACACTGATCAGCAGTCTGGTTGTTTAATTTTCCTGCAAAGCAAAGTATCAGCTTGAAGCAGGTGAAATATATTGTAGGCCGGAAGAAGGTCAACTACATGTCAGATGTACCTGTCCATAAATTCTAAGGCCTCATGCACATAAATTTTTAAGAGGCAAAATGGCCCAAATATAAAATTGCCTGCAGTTTCCTGTGCCTGGGGAGCTGCAGGTGGCACATACACCCAGCCATGCAGGTAAAGGGCTGTATGTGGCTGTAGTCGTAAAAATGCAGACCCTGACACTCCTGTTTACCCCTGCATGAATGTGTAGCAAATTTCACAAACATGAATGTGTAGCATTTAGCAATAGATGCTGTATGCACATGCATGGGCAAATGTGGATGCACAGGAGCATTGGCGTTGGCGAGTATGGCCGCATACATCTACTCAACCTGCAGCTACCGGAGTGGAGGTAAGTGCACG